GAACATAAGGCTGTTTTCCCTTTCAACAAAATTGTTTGCACTAAACTAATGGCCACTACTCATCTTTGTACATATCCAAGCTTCAAATTATAGTTTTGTGGCTCGCTTGCGACTAAGCTTTATGGTATGCTAGCAGTGTGGACCTTGTGATTCTAGGCTAGATTTCTCACAACAGATTAACTGCCTGCCCGTGTATTTCTCCTGATATTATATTATAAATCGGTTGTGCAAAAATCACAAATAATTGACCTACAGAAAATCTAGCAGTTGTCAGGCGTCTCAAGTCTTTTTGCATGTTTGATTCCAAGCAATTATTATAAGCCATATTTATGTGGATAGGGCTGGGACTGAATTTTCTTTATAGCTATCTGGATATTTCTAGGTTTAAAATAGTAGACCTGAGTTGGTAAAGAAAACCACTGACATTTTTGTCTTGCATTCTCATCAAAGGGCAAGATCTCTTGCTGGTTAAAGGTACCTTGGTCTACCATCTCCTAACATCTCAGTATTTGAAAAAAAAATGAGCTCTTACAGGAAGTTTAACAGTCCTTGAGGTACTTCTCACTGAATAACCTGGGATTTAACTCTTAGGTAAGCATAAGATTTTTGAAAGTATTTGCATTAGTTTTCATTAAAAATCTCCATAGATTACTAATTCAGAATGACAACAAAAGATACTACTTATATTGAAATAGGATACATTAAATACTCACACCTTCACTGAGATATTGCACATAGGTGGCCCATTTACATAGCTTTGTAGCTAATAATTTAATGCAGAATTACTAAAAATATGAATACCAGTATGTAAAATAGAAGATATTTTAAATATTCCTTGGGAAGAACTTTATCTTATGGAGTCACTGATATATCAGACTTCCACTTGTGTATAAGTAAAACTCAAATGTTAACAAACTTTATAAAATTATAAATAAAAAGCCTCACTAGCAAATTCTAATCTAGACTTTAAAAAACATATCTGGATCACCTACCTATTAGTCATGCACACGCACAAAAAAATAAAGGCTAGGAGTTCAGTGTGCACACACTCACAGAGTAAGCAAAAGTATTCAGATTTGAACCTTGGTGGTATTTTACTTAACGATATATAATACTCAAAAAATTACTGTCTAGCCATCCATCATGTACAGTTGCACTGGGCTCTAAAGAGGCACATTCTTTGTACACTGTTGACAACAGCCCTGAAATCACAAATTTTACAAAGAAAGGTAGGTAAGCATTACACGCACAGACATGAACAAGTAAACAACCAGACGGTATAGTTGACACTGCATAGAAAAAACACAGTCCAGGTCAGCTCTGAAACAATGCAAAAACTGAACAAAACTGGTATGTTTGCTTTTAAGATTGTGTTCGTTTCTTTTTTTTTTTTTTTCTTTCATTTTTGCTTTAACCCTTGCTTTTAGTCTCAATTATCTAAGTAGCCTGGACGTGTTTTGGTCCTACTGCAACGCCATTACAGTCGAGAATGTACTGTAAACAACCTTGAGGTGGTGGTCGCTGAGGTGGGATTTTGTTTGGCTCTGGCTCCTTTAGTGATCCGCTCTGGAAAATACATTTGAAAACAGAAGAGAAAAAAAAAAAATTAGAGTAGCTTAGTTCCCATTTTCCACTAATTTGTCTTTACTTTCATTAGAAATCTCTTTATTGGTTGGGACTGAACATATACTTTTAATTTATTCCAGATAAGATTTTCTAATTTAGTTGCTGTCTGACATGATCTATGAATCCTGGACTAATCTAAAGCTGAGTCCTTAAACAAAAATGTTTTCCCTTTGCCGCATGTGATCATGAACAAGGAGTGCCTTCTCAAATCGTACCTCCATTTGGGTATGGTCTTTCTCCCTCAGCTCCTAGCACCTTGAACGACTTTTCTCTATCTTGTTGCTTCTGCGCTCTTTTTTTAGGATAGACTGCACAGAAAATGGACTTCAGCAGATACTTTTGTGTAATTTAAGAAACAATTTATTTTTAATTACATTCACTTGTACCTGGAAGCACTAGCACAACAGGATTTTTTGCTAGTGATAGTTTCACTTTGATTCGCTGACTGTGAATGGGAAGGGAGATGGACTACTCCAGGTTAGCTGTTTTGCTAAGCAAAATGAAAGAAGGAAGCAAAAACCACAGACAAATAATAAAAATAATTTAAATTACTTCATGCTACTCTATCTGACATGTTATTAGAAACACATGTAATACTTAACTTTTCAAAACAGGAGATTTATTTGGCAGTATCCTTTTCAAATGTATACTTGTCGAGAGGAAAAGATGGGCCTGAACCAAAACCTTGGAGCAAAACACCCTCTGGGAACATTAGTATTTGAATCCAAACTTCGTCTTAGGGCCATTTCTAATATTTTCAAAAGTGAAATATGTTAAATCATTGGACATAATAGCTTGGGGTTTTTTTTAAGGATTCAGAAATTAAATTGCCGTCTGTCAAGAGGGAAAAATCCCAGAATGTATTAAATAGTAAATGTAAAATTAATTAAAAGTGTTTCTTGCAAAGCTTACTGTTTTTTTTCTGATAGATTTATATTTGATCTTAGAACTATAGAAATAAATCTTACTCATAGTGATGTGAATTCCTGCACAGCAATCCAGAAGTTAGACTTTTTGAATGTTACAAGACAACAACATTCTTATCGTATGCGGCTGTTGCAAATTGCTTTGTCTGCTTTAGCTACCTCAATGAAAGGACATAGGACAGGTTCAAAACTCTAAATATTCACAGTTAGCAACCTTCAGAAGTCCAAACGAGGAGTAAAAATGATATGTACAAAACAAATGAGGCAAAAACCGATCCTTATATTAACTGAGCCATCGCAGGGATGAGGATATGCAGAAAAGAGAATTACATGAGGAAAGACCCAGCCACCAGAAAATTTTAAAGTGCTTTAGTGTGGGTTGAAGTCTTCTCTGTTTTGTTTCTCTCCTTCCTCTAATTTTCTGAACCACATGTAAAAGTTGCCATTCTATCCTATGCATGTTTCAGTAGTGTGAAGTGTTTGTGGTGTCGGCGCTGTATAATGCGCGGGAGCTCACTGGAACAAGATGCATTTAGATCAGTCCCTCCTGGGATATGGGGAACTTGGCCCAGGGTGGAAACCTGGAAAAGTTGCCCTGGAGGAGCTGACTCCTTTCATATCCTGGCACCATTGTTCTGATGCACCTGGCACCTTCCTCCTTGTGCCCGCAGGGTCCGGGGTGCTCTGTAAGCCAGCAGTGTTTCCTTTGGGGGGTGTACAGAGCCTGCCCTTAAAGGGAAAGTGTATGTCCTTGAGATTAAGGACCCCCAGGACTTTCTTTCTGGAGGACCAAACAGATCATGTGGCTGTTGATAGAAAGCATGCATAATGTTTTATAAAGGAACATTACTATGATTCCCATGCAATAGGCTTGCTACCCCCGTAAAGGGCCACAAACCAATCTGTATGGGTCTCTGCAGCGGCAGAGGGTGCCTGGGGAGGGTATGAGTGCTGCTCTTTTTCCTCCTGAAACAAAAATAAAAGATTCTGTAGGTAAAACTCATCTTTTTTTTTTTTTTTTTTTTTAACAGGCTGGCAGTTTGAATTCACATCTACTTTAATGTTAAAGCAACATCTGCAGGGCCTCTGTCTCCTCCATGCCTTGGGGCTGAAGCAAATCTCCCATTTGTTCTTGCCCTGCCATGGTCTGGGGTTTTATTACACACACCACCTCACTGACTCGACGTGACAACATCAGTACTTATGCAATCTGCATATCTCTACATCTTACAAAGGAATTGTTTTATCCTAAATTAAGCTTTCAATAAGCCTTATAGCAGCTTGCTAATCCTTACCTCAACTGTTCTGAAAGCCTAGAGCCTTTGTGCATTTTCTGTTGAAGGTGCATTCCCCCTCACTAGTCCCTGACTGCAGCTGCCCTGATTTTACCACCCACACATCCTTTTTTTTTCACCAGATATCACCTGGTGCTTCCAGGATCCTCACCCACACTCCAGGCCAATCACATGGGTATATTACTTTTGCTAATTAGCCAACCCACCCAGGCTGACCCAAAAAGACTAATTAGCACTACATTCCTAATTGAGAAATCTTACTCATGGTTTTTCAATGGTCTGTAGTAATCCAGCCCTTTTCAAGAGTCTTTCTTTCAGACAGTCAGAAACCTTGATACCTGATATTAACAGGCTTTGAACCACTCTTGTTTGCTGTCCTGAGCCAAGGCCTTTAATAAAATCCAGGCTTCTTCTAAAAGACTGGTTGTTGGCAAATTAACTGCAGACTGCTCGGGCTCACCTTTCCAAGGTGCTGTGCCAATGTAATTCTAGGAGCCGCTAACTCCTCGTAGGCAACACAGTCTCTCTGAACAGAGGTGCTGGACCAGACCTGTCCTGCAGATGTATTCACCCCTCTTGTTTTTTTTTCTTTCTTTTTTTTCCTTTGTTGCCCAGCCTAGAAGCTCACCCTCCTAACACGTTCTTTTAGTACAAACATGTTTTCCCGTGCTGCAGTTCTGATCTACAAACTTGCCTATTGCTTGGTTGAAACATTGCAGAAATCAAGAATTAGGATGCAGTGTATATCACGGAAAATGACCCTGAATGGATCCTTATTTGGATGCTCAGGGCTACAGAGCAAAATTAGTAGTACAGAAGCTAGAAATGACAGTGTTTGGTATGGTTTAGGATTACCTAAGTGAGGTGTGGTAACTGCTGTCATAAGGAGCCCTTTTGGTTTTCATTTTATGGAACACAACTTTCATATCGCATCCAAATTCCCCAAAGAGAAGGGATTGCCGATGCTGATAGTAACATTATACAGAACTGCTTATAGAATCTCAGCTGTTCAAAGGGGATTTACTGTTTATATAACTACCCTAAAAAGATACAACTTTACTTGTGGAAACCTCTAAGCCACATGAATGCTGCAGGTAAACTATAGTGATTTCTCAACTCTGCGTATAACAATTGGTGCTTTGGTTGCATAATGGACTTTAAGAATATTTGCTAAGTTAATTATAGCCAGAGCAGAAAACCCACTACTTGTCTAGAAGACAGATGTCTCCAGATGTCTCCGTAGCGCTTCCTTCCTTTCCACACTTACCTGAAACAGTCCCCTTAGAATTTTAGGGGTAGAACTGGAGGAAAGAACTGTTTGTTCTTCAAAGCATGTTTTATTACAATTTAATCAGTGATATTACTTCTTTTTCTACCTTGTGTATTTATATAAATGCAGATTGGATTCATATATACTTGAATTTTGAATAGTCTGAAGAATGTTAAAATGGGTGGGAGCAAAAAGCAGCAACTTGGCAGGGAAATAGCCCTTGGGCAAAAGAGATGCTAAACCAAGTCCCAGCAAAAATTGATTTTTATTTGGCTGAGTTTGAAGATTTTGTGAACTACAGTTGGAGCACGTATAGTTGTTTTTGGGTTGTGTTTGGATTTCTTTGTAATGCAAGCATAGAAACTTTTCATAGGTATTTCAATATTTGAAGGGAAAGACATGTTTTTCAGGTCAAGAAGTAGAGGGATCAGTTGAGAATTGCCAAAATACGAGCTGAGTTAGACCTCATAAAGGAACAAGAATAAATAGTAAACCAATAAGTAACAGGAGAAGTAAAAAAAAGTGATTCCTAACGAGAAAGATAATTTAGATAATTTAAGTAGGGTGTCAATAGTAAGTGAATGTTTGAAGTGTCACAGATTCTTATAAATACAGGAGCAAGGGCAAGATGGCAGGTGGGATAAAATGAGATGGAGTTACAAATCAAAGATCTTCCTGGGCTCATATTGGTCAGACCAGACATTCTTCATCTCGGAAATCAAAACCAGCAGACTCATGAAATACAGCATTCGATACGAGATATCTCTAACCATGGGAAATGTACAAGGTACACTGGAGAAGGTTAAGCACTAACCCTGGAAGTGGCTACCGAGGAGCTAGGCAGTTACTGAAGAAAAACTAATGGGAAAGATATAACTGGGATGTGGAACTCAAGTAGGATTTTCATTAATTAAGTTGGCACAAGAATGTATGTGTGTGCTACTAAAACCTGTAGATGATACAGAGCTTTCTTTTCCAAAAGAAAGAAGGAAATTGATGAGTGCAGTGAAAAAAAAAAAAAAAAACCTTAAATGCAATGTCCAAAATAAGTTATTTATGGACTAATAACATGCATCTGTCAGAAATGCAGAGCTCACGAACTGAAATCTAATGGGAAAGATTTGTGCAGTGAAAAAACCAAAATCTTATCACACATTCAGTGAAGTATTTCCAGTAGGTGTTAGGCATGATCCTGTGGATCATTGACATCACCCCTGCTCAAGAAAGAGGAATGTTTCTGCGCTCATCTCGTGCAGAAAAGTGCTATTAAACTGACCAGGCAGATGGAAGAGTCTATACCTACAGCATTTGGAAGAACACATCTTGTTTAATTTAGCAAAATGAAGCTTGAACACAGTACAGTTGCTTTTTATAAATATTTTGTGCTGGTGAAGAACCAGGCAGAAAACAAGCTAGACTA